CTGGTCGGGGAAATCAGAGAGCCGGGTCCCTGAAACCCTGACGTTGGAAAGCCGGCAGACTGCACAGACAGCTGCCCAGGAAAACCACTAGGAAGTCACCTGTGGGGGAACTGGCTGAATCCGAGCGCTGATTCACGAGCCGGAAGGAATTAAGGCCACTATGCCAAGCAAGGACAACTTAAAAACCTGCCAAACCACCTAAAAGATTGCAAATATCGTCACCGGGCTTGCAGATCAAACTGGACAGACACCAGCCAGACCCTGAAAGATGCATCCCTTCCCTCCTAGACACGCACAAACACAGAGGCTAGAACATCTCCTGGGTCGGCCCCACAGACGATGAAGATGGGGAATGATCCCCAACCCCTTGAAGCAAGGCCAAGGAAGCCAGTTTTGGGATTTAGGAGTGCTTAAGTCTTCAGCTTGAGCCTGCACCCGAAACTCCAGGAGACAACGTCTCTAGGGACTTGGTCCCTGGCTGCCAACCGTGCAGAAAGTGACAGGAGGACACATGTGCTGCAAAATGAAGTTTGTAACTGTTTCAGGTGAAGAGGCTTAAACTTATTGGTCAAATTTCACCGAGTGCATTCGCAACACACTTCAATCACCAGCAGATTCCTTTTTTTTTTTTTTAAAAAAAAAAAAAGTAAGAATACCTACCATTAATCCTACCTGAAGTGTAAACATTTGGTTTAATAACTTTAACTGCAAAACACTGTTAGAGTATATATGATTTGGATTTATTATGTGCATTTATTACTTAGGTTTTCTGGATGCGGAATGCCCTCAAGTGCACTGGAAAGCTACAGGGACTCAAGAGATAGCAGCCTGCAATATTCTGAATAACATTTTCAAAAGTTTTCTAAGCCACTTAGAAAACTGAGCTCAAAAGTGAAATAGATATTTAGGAACGTTCGTCACTTTTGAATATGGGATCTTGGCACTTTGTCTGAGAAAAAAAAAATTGAACAATGCCAGATTTTCAAAAAAAGGGAAGTTTTACAGATAAACTAACAGCACTTGATTTATTTCACAAGACAGCCAAGGATGGAAATAGTGGTTCACATTTCTGTAGTAAAGCATTATATATAAATTTAAAATCTAAAGACATATATATATATATACACACGTCAAGTTTACTGCAACGCATAAATATATAAACTTTTTAATATGCCAACTAATATAGGTCAGAAAATTGATGTATATAGTTCAAGTTTTGCAGCACTTCAGCATTGTAAAAAATAAAAAATAAATAATGGTCAATGGATTGGCTGCTGCCCTCTATTTTTTCCCACCCCTTTGCTCAGAATCAGAGTAAATCCAACCACGCATCAGCCCAACAGAAGGGCTGAGCAGACCTAAGTTTCAGAATGTCTCTTCGAGGAGTATTTAGTGAAATATAACTATTTTGTACTAGGTTGGGATTGTATTTCAGCATATCTAAGCTAATTCAATAAAGATGACGAAGGTTTACACTAACACAACTGAGGGCAGAGATTGGCTTCTCTGAGGCCCACAAAGTTGCAGAGTGGAAAGTATTGTAACTGGCTATAATACTGGTTATACAAAGCCTCTTTTTCTGAAGGGCAGGAAGTCTTATTTCTATTTCCACCTCTCTCGTTTTACTCCTTTTAAATAAATATAGGTTACGTCCCACCCATCACAACAATAACGAAATCAAAAATTGAGGTAAGTGTTCTACCAGCTGATCTCAACTATGAACAAAAGTCAATTAACTATCACTACTGAGGTGAACAAGACTTAGTAAGAAATAAAATGCAAGATACTAAATTCTTCACTATAACCACACCATAAAACCCAGCTTTCAAATTCAAACAGCAGTAAACAAGACTGTAACTTAGCACGGAAATCGTTAGTAAACCAACTTTTGATCCCAGTTTAAAGTCGCTGTACAAATTTTCCTTAACTCTTAGTCCAAAAACACATCTTCTGCAAAACAAATATATCCTTGTCATATTTCACCTTTGTTCTAACACAGATAAAACACACCTTTCTACTCCTCAGTCTTAAAAACCATTCTTGGTTTGCAAGCGATCTGAAGTAAAAAGGAACACAACTTATTTTGTTTAATTTGTCAAGTTTCGTTGTCTTTTACCAAAAGCAGCAATCATCATTAACCGTTCCAAACACCGTTTCCCTTTTTACCTCAAGGAAACAGCCACCAAAGCCCGCACAGAAATGCACGCCACCCATCCGTACACCAGTTCATCAGGTTATTCAAATGACAGCGTAGAAAAAACAGTTTACTTCTCTGTAGTATACTGTATCCATTTTAGTCCATTTTAAATATATTAAAAATATTTGTAAGAATGAAAACATTGCAAATGAATGAAAAACCGTATGTACACACCTCCACCATTTTTAGGCACAGACCTTAACTTTTGAGGAAGGACTAGAAATAAAAGGTGCAACCACCAACATCTCCTACGGCACTATGGTCAAACAACAGTCTTTGCAGTATACCAGGGAGGTTGGTTATCATATAGCTTCTGTGTATTACCGCTATCCAGCCCAAGATAGCACATTTATTCTTATCAGTTCCCCTCAGGGGAAACGCATCTCAAATCTTTTTTGCTTTTCAAGAAACTTCATCAAAGAAATACCAATTCCCACCAGTTTCAGACACAAAAAACCTCCTTCAATAACACGGTTTAAACTCCAAATGATTACGACTGAAGGTGTTTCCTTGATCCCCCCCTTTTGTTTTCCCCCCTCTCTTCTTTTTAATGTATACTTAAGTTATTTGTTCCCAAAACAAGAACTGAGACTCAAGCTTTTTAAGCATTTAAAACAAAAACAGTTACCATACCAAAGCACAGCATACAGTGTAAGTTTCAGCTGTAATTTTCTCAGCTTTTCCTTTATATAGAGCTATATTATGGTGGACTGCGCAGAATTCTTCCAGTCTCCTCCACTGCCAGCACACGGATCACGGAGAAGGTACACGAATGCGGAACAACCCTTGCTGAAGCTGCAGTCGGAAGAGTTTGCAGTTTGCGATCCGCAGAGCCGCACAGCCAGTACGGCGGAGGTCTGATGGAAACAGCGGTTTAGTGCGCTGCCAGGTCCCCGTGCTTCTTTTAAATTCTCTAACATAGTCATAATTTGTACCTGAATTCACACGTGCACAAAAAAAGATAAAATGCTTAAAACGTACTGTAGCAACCACTGCATTTAACTCCTAATAAGGCAAACAAGTGAAGAAGAGCATGCACAGAAACACAAACCGATTTCTGGATGTATGGTTGAAATCCTTGCCAAAGGAAAACCGCTATCACATTTCTTACCTACGCACACCCACCACATTTGGAATTTTGCTCCTTCATATTTTGTGGAAAGCCCTGTTACACACTCGTATATGTACACGTGGCCACGAAAGCATGTAGTCTTCCAAACGTTCTTTACAGTATGTGGCCAGATGCTGAAAGCCGACTATTGAGTACGTTTGTTAGTACTCATTGATTTGGCTGGGATTTAGAGCCCAGAGCCGCTATCACATCCATATGAACCACTGGACGTTGTCCCCAAAACGCAGAGTGACCTGCTTACCACCACAAAGGTGGGAGAAACAACCTCAGGCACTAACGTTTTTTCTTGTATTTAGACAAATGCAGTAACATACTCTTAGTCTTGATCTCTTCTGATCTCCAAAATGCTCACCAACCCAACGCCTATAGCACTGCATCTGTTTCTGCAGAGCTCCAACGGACAAAACCAATCTGTACATTTCTCTACGTCCAGCGTAATTCCCCTGAGGGCAACAGCAACTTAACAGAACACAGTCACAGCCTTGTATTCAAAAAAAAACCCCTCAGTCTCATTAGCGCCACATAATTAAAAGACTGGAAGAAGACAAGCAAGAGGAGGTTATTAGTTCTAATTCTGACCTGTATCGAGATCTCCAATCACATATATGCTGGCTCCAATGGGCACAGCTCCATACACGAAGGAAGAACTAGTTGGAATACATAGGTTCTGGTCATTTAGATAAATCCACCTGTAAAAGCAATAATAAAAATACTGGTATACAATTTTTATTGAGCACATTAAAAGAATTCCAGGCTTTTTTCACAACTGCCATCTTTGAATCAAAAGCAGAGTGTCCAAGTTAATTTGTTACATAAAAACTGTTGGGAACATTGTCTAGTTCAGGACAGTCCTGGCTTTTCCTAGCCAGGAAAGGCAATTGGTACTGCTGTTTGGGACGCTCAGGATACTTTATCCTATAGTTACTTTATTTCAGAATTGCTCCAGGCATCTGTATAATCTATCTGGAATAAATCCTTCTTGCAGCCACCCAGTGTGACCTTTCGGAAGAGAGCAGGCATATAAGAGAGCCTCTTCTACAACAGCTATGCCAGTCAATTTTCTCTACAGAGAAAATTCTAGGCAGCTTTGTCTTAAAATCAGTAGAGTCATAACAGCATCTAAGTCTTAATAGTCCGTACCAGGGGAAATAATGAAGTGTTGTACAGCAAGGCTTATTATTAAGCAGTGCCTTCCCCTGTATAATTCCCCAACTTCTTTAACGGCACTTTATCAGCGACAAGAAATCCCCAGTCCAGTAATAAGAACACAGCACTTGGCAATGCGTAACTGTAAACAAGGGATAAAAGACTGGAAATTAAAACGGTAAGGAATTTCGGGAATGAAAAGAAATGTCCATTACCTGGAACTGAAACAGACCTTCCTGATCACATATCAGGCTCTTTTCAATCACTTTCCAGCTCCTGCTATAATCTTACACATCCCCTGTCTTCACTTTAAGCATATTCTCATTTCAACACTACATCAGCCTGATCCTTCTACCAAGTGAAAAGCAATTTTCCATGTCGAAGCCTTTGGAAACCAGGTAAGTACGTACTCATCACCCACGGGGGACACTGGCTTACAAAGATGTCCCATTTATCGAGAGTCGTCAGCATCCTCTCTATGGTTCTGAAAGAAATTTCTACAAAGTGCCACTGCACGTTGGCAGATGCTGTCACAGTTACTATTTATAGACCCTGAAGACATACAAATCAATGCTATTCCAGCCGACTGCTCCTAGATCTGTTATTAAATAATTTACAGAGAACAGGGAAGTTTGAAAAACCTTTGAAAAGCATCCCATGTATTTTCATGGCCCTACCTGGTTAATATAAGGGAAAAAGTTAGGAAATACCCTCGCAGACACTGCTGACCTTTGAAAATTCCGCATCATCTCAACTCCTGATTCAGAAGTAAGCCTCTCTTCTGGCACTGAAGGAGATGCTGCTACGTATCAATTATCTTGGAGAGAGAGATCAATTTTTAAAGGCCAAATGAAAGGATTAGCTGTCCATTATTTTGTCTGTGCTATACACTGAAAGATTAAGATTCTGCAGAAAGCAAGGAATGATTTGTAGCTGTCACAGAGGATGACAGATGAACTCAGAACAGAGAAAAGTCCTCTACACTGATTCAGAAACTCTTACAGAGCAAAACACCTTGCATCATATTCCATTAGCATCTTTTCCCTACGGCGGGAACAGGGCAGCCAGTATTTCCACTGCTCTTTAGCACCAAGTTACCTAGAATTACGAAAACTATGTGGCACAGAAACACAGGAAGACGACTACAATTTCTTTCTTGCTTTTTTTTTTTGTTTGTTTGTTTGTTTAATAGCCAATACAGGACCATGTTAAAGAAGGTAAAAAAAACAATTAGATGGGTGTAGTCTAGCTACTGATCAAGTCTGGGCTTGGGAAATATGTGAACTTCAGGGGTTTATCTGCACCAGATACTAATGGATTTGGAATTTAAATATAAAAAAGCCCAAGTGAGAAGCCCAAGCACTTTCCTACAGCACATCACAAAAGGACAATATTAAAGTATCTGTAGTTGCTTGTGAAAATTCATTCTCAACCTTTCTCAAGGCATATACTTTCAAAAACAGGCACAACTTTTCAGGAACGCTTACAGCAGCTTTAGTAGTTAAAACTAGGAAGGAACAAAGACAGGAAGGGTAAGGGGTCACGTTTCATCAGAATTTGACTAAGCTCCAGCTTAAGTCCAGGGTTCTGCCTGCTGTTTGAACAGTATGGAAAAAACACCATGACAAAAAATTCACAGTCTTCAGGAATTTGAAAACATGCCTTGGAACATAACTCTTGGGTACTTCCCTGGGATGGCTCCCCTCAAACCGAACCCGAGAGCAGCAGGGGGAAGGCATGTGCCCCTCTAACCACAGACAGAAATGATTGCTCTGAAACTGAAATATGCTTCCACTCAAACTAAAAAAAGGGAAGGAATCCTGATTTTTTTTTTTTCCCCAGCCTTCATAGAATCATCATAGAACGCTTTGGGTTGGAAGGGACCTCAAAGATCATCTCGTTCCAACCTCCTGCCACGGGCAGGGACACTTTACACTAGACCAGGTTGCTCAAGGCTCCATCCAACTTGAACACTGCCAGGGAGGGGGCACCCACAGCTTCCTTAGGCAACCTGTTCCAGTGCCTCACCACCCTCAGGTGGTGATTTTTCTTCAGTCTTAAAGTGATATTAAAAAAATAACCCACCCACACTGCTGTAATTAACAAGCAGGACGGTAACTGGTTTTTTTCCAAGTGGAAATAAAGATGTGATACAGAATCAACCTATTCCAGACACGTCCCCTCAAGCTCACACCAGCTGCAAAGGGAAGCCTACAAATGAATGAAAATCTTCTCCGTGTTCCTCTCATCTGACAGCACGATCAGTCAGTCAGTCAGTTTTCTCATCCTATTTGCATAAGCACTTTCTTTTAGTGAAACTCCTGCAGACTGAATGGGAAAATCTTCCTAATTACACATACTATGTTACAAGATTACTTAGTTTACTACTTATTTACTGCTGAAAGCATTTCCTTATTTTTATGACGTTCCAGTAGCAAAAAGAATTATTTTTAAGGAGTTTTTACCAAGTATTGCTTCTGAACAAGTCTCTCACTTTTATTCCCCTCAATACCCGCAAATTTTGCTAACTTTTTTGAACCAGGAGCTCATGAAAAGAAGGAAGAAAGCCTTCCCAACTTACAGACCACCAGTGAAAGGCAGCAGTGGCTATACTCAAGGACAGAGCTCCACCAGCAGCTCTTGCAAAGAACCCGAAAGCCGATTTGTGCTCTACCAAATATTTCCAAATGTCCATACCAAAAAGAGAAAAAAACCAAACCCGAGTGTACAGACATCATCCAACTCTCCACACACCTATTTGATGCAAAAAGGCATAAGTTATGAACTCTGGTAGAACAAAAGACTGACCCATCAAGCTCTTTAATATGTAGTTACGATTTCCTGCTTTTTATGGAGTAGACCAACACTCATTGAGCGAAGGATACCCTTATTCCTCCATCTCCCACTTCCACATTTTTCAAATCTACTTTTAGCTTGCCCAATGCTTTAAAAAACAGGCTGCAATGTACACAATGCTTAATCTATAGCCTTTGAAAAAAACCTACATCCTGAAAAAACCTGCAGGCTGACACACGTATTTTCTATCCTCAGTTCACTTAAATTCACTCATGCACGTGACTCTAAGGACAGGCTGATGAAACATTTATTAATTGGGAAATTTCAGGTACAGACGTACTTCAAATATGAGAATTATTTTCTACATTATCCTGTCCACATTTCACGCACATGCTAGTATTCTGTCTCGCTTCATTTATTTTAGTACTTGTTTATACAGTATAGCTTAACAGAAGTCTCAATGTTTGGTTTTTTGCTAGTGTGAAGACCTCAGCCTATCTCTAGTCTTTAGAAAAGTCTATGTCATGGTTAAGAATAACAATTTTGAAAGACTGTGCACTGTGAGTTATTCCAGAGTAAGTTACTGTCAAAGTAAGCAATATTAAACAAGCCAAGCTTCAGTCCTTTAATCTAATTCAAGCCAGAATTATGCCGGTTTATTATGAATTAATATGTTTGTACACTGATGCAAGTACTTACCTGGACATAAACACTAAGTAAACCCCATAACTCAGATCCTCATGGACGCAAAGCCTAGGATGATGCTACACCCTGTACTCTCAGGTAATGAGAGCTGAGGCACATACAAAAAATGATGCGGGTGGCACACGTGTGCATTGCTGCACGTACCTGCAAACCAACGGAGTCTGAGGGCTGAACTCACAGTTCAGAAATTGTTTCCGTTCAAAAAGAAAGTGAACATGACGGAGTTCTGCACTAAAGAGCTGGAAAAGTCTGTAGCTCATTATGAAGTATGCAACCCCGATATGTAACTATTAAAAAAAAAAACCCAAACCACTACGAATTTTGGGTTGAGATTGCTAGAGCTGATACGTTGCGCTTTTGACCCACTGCTGCTAAATGATCTTGCAAACATATTCTTCCTTTCAACGAACCTCTCTTAATCCAACACTTTCAGACTTCTGTTAACAATAGACACATACGCTGTCAATGTGAAATTTCAGCTTCGACAGTTCCAGTATCATTCCTTCACTGTACCTACAAAAAGAACAAGCGCTGTGGAGTCTGAAGGTGCTTATATCCTCCACGATGACTTTCTGAAGCTGCTGCTTTGAAGGGGACTGATCACCTTTATTTGTTTCAGAAGCTATTGCTGAGGAAATAAACGCACTTCTCAATTACAAATTAATCACTTGTAGCAACTGCAATAATGTTTAAGATGAAGAATCAGTCTTTCTGTATACCACATTAACTATGCCCTAAGGAACTGAGGGAGAGATATTGTCCACTTGTGGCAAAATCTACAGCACCACTTACGCTTTACTCTTGAGTAATGATGCGCAGCAGAGCATATGATACCCAGTGCAAGTGGAATTGCTTAACTAATCAAACACACATCAGTATTCAGCATAAGGTTTTCAGAGACTTGAGAGAAGCATATCATTGAAGCTTTCATCCTTCACTCAAAGTAATTTAGATTTGTTTTCTGCTATTTTTGAATCAGCCCAGGAAATAACACCCTCATGTTTTCCAAAGAATCAACTTGCCTTCATTTGGTATTCATTTGATAGTTGTGAAACACTACTATAATGAAATTATGATGATTTTCCAGATTCAATCTTACTTCAAAGAAGACTATCAGCCAACAAAATACTTTGCCTCAGTATTTGGCAGGCAGAAATATTTGCTAACTGCATTTTGAAGGGAAGTCCCTTTATGGCTATTTTCTCTCTGTTCCACACAGGTCCAACAGCTCAGGTCTCACAGCCACCCTGAAAGGTATCCACCCTGTGCGGCCCTCCCAGGGCACCGAAACGCAGGGTAACTGTCAGACCCCACGAGCTGGAGTGCTAGAACGTAACGCAGGGACACTGCACCCTCTTCTGGCCAGAAACACCCCTTCTGCCTCCTGGGGCTGGAACCGGGGGCCTTCCAAAAGGGAGAGCAGAGGCACAAACCCCAGCCAGCAGCACTAGAAGCGGAGGTGGCCACCATCCCGGTCCTCGCTGGCCCTCCATTTCCAAAGGAAAACGCACAACCTGTGAACCGCCTGCAGCACAAGCGCAAATTTATGCTGAGTTTAATTTCTAAGCTCCAATTTTGTGCAGTGGCAGAGCAGAAAGGCCAAGTCTGAGCACCTCAGCAGCCCTCAACGCATGCCTCCTCCAGCAACTCAAGGCTCTACTCGCTGCTGCCTCAGCTTCCTCTGGGCCGGCACAGCCCTTGTGCCACGCACACAACAGACGGCGTGCCAGAACAAGACCTGAAGCAACTGGATTTTTATTACAGTTTTACTTGAATCCTGTAACACCTCTGGGATGCCACCAAACAAATACACACGTGAGAAATACCGCCGGGCAGGTGTCTGTGCTGCAGTCAGCAGGTGGCACCAGGGACTCACCTGCAGCACCCAGGCTGGAACCCCCGGGCTTTTTCAAACTCCACTTTATGAAAGCTCAGTCTGTATCAACCAGTGAAACAGGTTTAGTCGCTGGTAACGAATCATCAGCTATTATACACCACTTTTTGAAGAAGAGACTCAGCCTGGAAATATTTCAGGCAAATCAACTAAAAATAGCAGGCAGGACTTAGGGGAGCACTTCTTTCCAGAATTCTTTCCTTTTCAAAGACCTCCTGCCAAAAAGTTAAACAGCTTTTAGCATTTCACCACACCCCCATAGGGCTAGAAAACCCTAGAGAGTATCAGCACCAGTAGCCTTTCTTATCGGTCTGCTTCCTAGAATCACTTTAAAGACCATTTTTTCTCCAGCTTCATTCAATCATAGCTAGTTTGGACATCACTTTGAACAACACAGAAGACCTCTTTGTGCAGAAATTAAAGTCTCTTTACATCCACATCTTGCATGAAAATTATATAATGAACTTACATCTACTGTTCTATTTTTGAATGCTTTTATACAGGTCACATCATAACTCAGTCTTGACTTGTAATACAGACATATTTATCTCCTCCACTGTCAACAAGCCTTGAAACATCTGGCCACAGTCTTTCTTCAATGTAGTTTATTAAAAAAAAAAAAAAAAAGAAGAATCCAATTTATAGTTATGTGCAAGAAAAAAACCCCAAAACACTGGAGGACCAAATCGTTCTGTCTAACGTAACATTTTGAATAGTTACCACGTGTAGTAAGGTGGATTCCAATACCAGAGCCAAGAGATAACAAATGAAGTCACCATTTGCAGAATCAAAACAAACAAAAGATAATAGCCACGCACAGTGTCGAGGTGACTGAGGCACGTATAGCATCAGTAGTGTCTTTCCTATGGCAAAAGCCTACGTGGTTCAAAAAGCAGTCAGCTATAAATGCTTGGAATAAAAATGCATGAAATTTATCTCTAGCTTAGGAATTCCCTAAGCTGCAAATCCTTGGAGACAGGACTGGATCATGGAGAAGTATCCCTGTGCATACTTAAACTCCTCCATGAGCACTCACGAGGACCTTAGGGCGTGAGTAGGGGTGGGGGGTGGCAGTACCCTGCACTTGGGGAAACTGCAGAGTGCAGGGGAAGAACCAGGCAAACCACCTGTACGATCAAGGTGTTTCTCCTGTTCAGGGACACTGAAGACTGACATGGTGGCCCAGGGCTTTAGGCTTGGTATCTTAGAGGGACAAGCCAAAGCAGACGGACCTTTGGTAACAGCCATACTGGATCATAAAAGGTAAAACGAGCGACAGAGATGCGCGGCAGAGATCTAACATGCTTTGAAGTGCTGGAACAGGGGAGGGGGGAACAGAGAGGTGAGTGTGTAAGGCACATATTTTCTATGTCTGTAGCTGCAGCTAGTTACCTTTTAAACTCATCATGATAAAATTCAGATTTGCACGTCACCATCTCACTGGCTTGACTGTCATCCCGACTCCTGACCCCGCCAAATACATAAAGCTCCGAGGCAACTCCACAGGCCACTGCCCCAAATCTGGAAATCCAAATGACAAAAAAAAATATAAATGCAACATATCAAAACCATTTCATAGATCCTTCTAAACTTTCTCCTTTTTTTGTTTTGTTCTACTTATATACACACTCCCCCCTTATATGTTCATTAGGTGAGTCATGAATATGAATTGTAAGCACTTAATTCAGACTGTGTTAAGAGCAAAACTGCAAAGTACTTATCTCTGGTCAAAATCTGAAGTTCCAATTGAACTACAATTTCTCCTTTTCACTTTGTATCAGGGTAGTATTAATTGTAATATCAGGAGTGTATTTCTACAAGTCGTATTTATGGCTTGGATGCTTATCTTTGCTCAGCCACATGTTAACTACGGGACACCATGATTCAGAAAGACAAGGTGAAATTCACAGGGCCTCTAACAGCCATCTTCAGGGATTCATCTGAGAAAGGACAACTTCCTCTCATCAGTGTTAAAAAAGGTTGCAGACAGCAATCTAGTTCCCCCCTTCCATTTTCACTCACCTTCTCTCTTTCAGAGGACAGATTGCTGTCCACTGCTGAGTCCTAGGGTCATAACACTCAACAGATTCAAAGAGTTTTCCATAGGAGCCTCCACCCATTGCATAGATTTTCTTCTTCATAGCTGCATAGCAGCCAATCTTATGGAAAAAACAAAAAAAGTAAATCTAAAATTACACAGAAATGCACAATATCGAGAGCTCAAAACTAACTATATACACATACACACGTATATGTATTTGGGTTGCCTGTACCGCTGCGCATAAAAATCCTCAGCCCCAGTTTTGGTTTGGTATATAAATACAGAAGCTGCTCTCCCTCATTTCGTTTTGAGACTATTTGTTACAGCTTCTACTTGAAGCAAAAGGTTGAAATATATACGTTGGCATTAACTATTTAAGAGTAAGTAATGCCACAACAGATGATGTAGTTCTTACCTTTCTAACCATGGTCAAGTCTGGCTGCTTGGTCCAGGTCCGGCTATAAATATCATAGCTCTCCATAGAGATCAGCTCTCTTTCACCATCCTCACCTCCCAGAATATACAGAATTCCATCAATCTCTACCACACCAAAATTATGTCGTGCCTAAGGAATAACAATACAGTGAACACTCCAAAACATAATTGCCATTGTGAATACATCAACGCAACCTTTTTTTCAGCATATCTGTCTGCAAAGTGACAGCGGTATTACGCCTGGTTTTTGTTTTGTTTCGGTTGTTTTCAAATAGTGAAGTCCTAAACTCCAGAATAAGCTCACTATTTTTATTCAAAGACAGAGCAGCAAAAGCCAAAGAGTCCACACAGAAATCCACGAACAGAGCTTGGCCGTGTTTCAGTTTGCATAGCAGAGGTCTCCACAGTGAAACTATTGCTTTCAGGTCTCTGCAGCAGCAAAACTCAGACCCATCATCTGTGAAAAGGCAGCTCTTCTAGTTTGTGTGTAGGAGCGCAGCTACCCTCAGTCTCATGGTAAACAGGAAAAATAAGGTACCATAAAGTCTTACTCACAATAAGCAGGAAACTTAATGCATCGTATCTACAAATGCGGCCAAAACTACAGGCCTTTGCCAACAGAGACTGTAATGAGGAAAATCCTCAAACAAGAGGATTGGTGGCAAACAACAATTTCCTTAATAAACACCCTATGCTGATTTAAGGAGATACAAACACAGGTGTATTAAGGATAAGTTTACCAATAATAAACTATTACTTTTGGATGGAACGTAAATATGAAGAAGAAAGCATTAACTCAAACCAAACCTAAATATGTCTGTGCAAGCCAAGCTGTGTATGTTGGCAAGTCGTTTGTCCTTCTTTTCTGCACAGCCTGATCCCTTTGTCCATTTAAGAGTTCTCTTGTTTTAGAAGGTCAGTATATGCAAAACATTTAAGCTTACTATATGACCGATACATTAAGAAATCCCTGAAATTTTGTAGTTCATCTTTACAGATAGCTCTTCACTACTTGTTTAGTTTTTCCAGATCTGGCAGTCAGTATGAGACCACAAGTATAACAACAGACTATAAACAGGAGTCAGTCTGTAGCATTGTCCTGGTTTCAGCTGGAATAAAGTTAATTTTCTTCCCAGTAGCCGGTACAGTGCTGTGTTTTGGATTTAGGATGAGAATGATGTTAGTAACACACTGATACTTCAGTTGTTGCTAAGTGATGTTTACACTAAGTCAAGGACTTTTCAGCTTCTCATACTGCCCTGCCAGCGGAGGCTGGGAGTGCACAAGGAGCTGGGAGGGGACACAGCAGGGACAGCTGACCCAAAGGGGTATTCCATACCATATGATGTCATGCCCAGTAGATAAACTGGTGCCATCGGCCAGGGGGACACTGCAGCTCGGGGACTGGCTGGGCATCAGTCAGCGGGCGGTGAGCAACTGTATTGTGCATCACTTGTTTTGTATATTCTATTATTATTATTCCCTTCCTTTTCTGTCCTATTCAACTGTCTTTATCTCACCTTCTTTTTTCCGATTCTCTCCCCACTGCAGGGGGGAGCGGGGGGAGTGAGCGAGCACCTATGAGGGGCTTAATTGCTGGCTGGGGTTAAACCACCACAAACTTGACTATGAATGTGTAAGATGCAAGTGACCGGAGATCATGAACAAAATTTTGCAGAAGCAAAGGAACATTTTGCCACAGCGAAAACTGAAATCCCAACAGTTAGATAGTGATCTTGCCTCATTCATTGGTGGTAAGGAACTCCATGAATTGGTATCTGGATCATATTTCTCCCCAGAGCTTAGTGTTCCCTTGTTTTCGTCCTGACCACCAAGCACAAATAAAAATCCTTCTGTAAAACAAAACATAACATGATCTTAAAAAACAGGACTCACACCCGTACACTGAGTAAGACAATGTGACTGGCGAGCTGTATCCTGGAATTCACCAAGAGATTCACATCAGTCACAGGTCAAACTCTGGACTGGAGAAGGTACAGCACATACTTAGATCTGGACTCAAGTCTACCCCTGCAGATACTATTCAACATATTCAGTGATGCAGCAACTAGAATTTACTTAAAACATGAAATACTCCTGGAGAGACAGATGTAGCAGATTCCCACAAAATGTTGCAGGAATAGTGATTTTAAGACACTCATATGACAGGGATTTTTCACAGAATCAAGTAATGTTTTGGGCAGACAAAGGGGAAGCATGAAATAACCCCAGTGCAGTCAATCTTATAGAAACAATATTATTATAAGCTGTAGCTCAGATTTTGAGGCACTGGTAAGTTTTTGTATATTGACTTTACAAATACAAAGTTCCCCTTTACCTGCTGACAATACTCCATGATTGATCCTTGGAATACTCATAGGAGCAAGTTCAATCCAGAGCTGTCTATTGGGATCATAAAGAGGACACATACACCGCATCACTGAGGTTGGTTTCCGTGATCTGAACACAGGGTGGGGAGGGAACAAACAAAAACAGAAAGACAAGACAGAGTTTTACGAGTTCACTGTTAACAACTTGTGTCCAAAGCTTGCTTGTCTGTCTTTTAATATATATCCATAAAGCATGGCATTTCCCTGGTAAGAGGAAGATCCCCAAACCAAGAGTGTGTAACTGAGTTTCATACAAACCAGAGACATCAAAAGCAGATGCACCTCATTCGTACTGTACCTGCCTGTAACATTTTTTTATGCAGGAACTTTGAATAAACTAGTAAGAATTGATAGGGAGATTAGTGACATTGAGTAAAGGGATCCACAAACGGGCGTGCAAAATATTATCCAAGTATTTTATTACACTTCTACAAAGAGCTAAGTGCTAAACTTACTTAAATAGAATAAAAGCCCCTCTTCTGCAGGGGGTACTCAAGAAAAGAAAGGGATTATCGTCTGGAACAGGAATTTTCATCTGGTTTCTCAGATGTACCAATACTGACTTTTTTTTTTTGGAACCACAGCTATCATAAACAAAACAGTTTAAGTATGTGTTTATTATTTTTAAGATTTATTATAGATACTTTTCAGCTCATGAGAAAAGTGTTTCTCCAACATTCTGTGCTTATTTTGAGAAAAGTCTATTCAGTTTAAAAAAAACCAAAAAAACCCCAGCCACACTTACTGAACAAACAACAGGTCTACTACATGTTGAATGTCAGAAAATTCTCACAAAATAACTATTCGTTGCTGAATCATTCACAAAGGTGTTTCAGGGTGTCTGACCAACTTAAAACCAAACTCAAATGGCAGAGTAATAAGCCCATTAGGTGCATGTATTCTCTCCACACTGGGTTTTCAGACGTGCCATGGATGCCAGACACTTGTATTTCTACCAGCTGTGACGACCTGTGATGCCACTTCATACTTACACTCGTTCTTCTCCACCAACAGTCACTATACACTCCGAGTAACCCCGGGGCTTGAAGGAGGCCAGCATCGCCTCTCCCTGCTGGGGCGGCGTGAGGGGAATATTGTTGCATTCTTTGACGATCTCCCGTACCAGTGGTTCGCTCATCATCTGCTCACGTAAGTATGCTGCATCTAAGCCCGAAACCCACACTGCTGACATGACATCCTTCATGTGAACCTACAGAAAGAGGTAAATGCCAGAAAATCCCCTGAACTCTCCAGAACAGCATTAAGGCACTCGTACCCACAGATGCTTCTACATAGATCAAAAACTTAGAAGAGTACTTTTGATATTTGTAAGTAATAACAAAATCTACAACACAATGTTATTAAGAAAATGCATTAAGTCTTCCAAGTTTCACCATAAGAGTGCTGCTTGCTTTCTCTCTACAACAAGATTACATCCTCAAATGCCAAAAAGGTCCTTTTTTTTAATATCTATTAAATAATAAAGACAGCAGACAATGTATCATCAACACAGCCTTCACCCTTTTACTGCAATCCCACTGTCTGCATTTCACCCAAAATTCAACTAATTCTCTAAGTGCAAGATTAGTCCTGAAAGAAATGTATCTATTTTAACGTATCTACTCCCGCTGATTCGAATAAGCCCACCGATTTGGGCCATGTTCAAAACATAAACATTTGGATGTCCTGACCTTTCTTGATTCTGAATCATGAGAAATCCACCTAATCACCGCTTCAAAGACGTATCTTTCATTTCCAACGTTGAGCTTTTCCATCGACAGCACTTCTTTCAGTTTTTGAGGAGTCAGTTCCAAGAATTCCTCTGTGCTGCTGACATCTCGAAAGTGAGTTTCCAGATACTCTGAGGCAAGGTAGTGAACATGATGCAAACAATAGTGCAGTGCAAAGTCCCGAATACCAATACAGTTCTCAGCAGCTATGCAACCTTCTAAAAACTCACAGCAGAGAGTTTTTAAGTCTGTAAGCAGCAGGAGATCAGCTGCCTGTACCACATCTTGGATAGTTTCTTCATTTAGCCTGATCTGCAAGAATTAATTTAGAAGTTATAGCTACTATCACTCATTTGTTTCATGACATGTCCACATTCATCACACTCATTCACAGTGGCTGAAAAATGGGAGTATTCATGACACTGTAACAATTACAAGAAATTGATATGACTACTACACGTTTATAAACTAACCCAGGGATGGAAAGGCATTTGCTTGACAGAAGGTGTCAAGCAGATTTTTGCACCTGAAGTAACAATAAAATTGCTCATCTAATCTGGGAGCCTATAATTAATTTTGCTGCAATAAACAAATAAACATTTAAAATGCATGTCCAGAAGAGAATTTCAAGCCACATGTGCCTGTTCTTTTTCTGCTGAAAAGTTAAACTCGTTCAGCAATCTCAGTCTGGTTCCGAATAAACCAGACACACCAACTTTAACTCCTGCTAAGGGTACTGGCACAAAGATCTGTAGGGGCGTGCTGTCAGCAACAAGAGGCCGGAGAGGTGGGCATAAGGGTCAGAGAGGGAGGGTGCCTGAGGTACTGTAATGTTCAGCGATGGGGTCTCAATCCCTAGCGCTACCAAACCATCTCTCTTTTACAGCCATTGAAGATCACGTATTTTAAAGCAGGTTACTGAAGGCAGCCACAAATTTTAATACAGACATTCGACACTAACTCTTTCAGAGTCCTTGCCCTCTGCATGAAAAGAGCAGAGACAGCTCCTGCAGAGCCTACTGCCTCTACGGCACATGCACAGCCCCAGCGTGACACATCACTTTGCAGATATTATATCACAAAGCTTCAGACCTCGATAGGTTTATCTTTCAGGACAGCAGTGTTAAAACCCAGGTTGTTTTGCCAAATAGTTCAATTTCCATCTAGTTTTTTTTAAATACCATACCTGCCCACTGAAGATGTAATCTAGTATCTCTTTCATGATATCAACAGATATCCCTTCAAGTTCAATCTTGTATGTTGAGCCATCATCCTTTGGAGGATTATAATTCAATTTTGTTCTAAGATGAGAAAACAAAAAAGAAAAAGCTGACAACCTGGGCATTGATTGCTCTCAATTTTCTGAAGAAACAAATGCTAGCTATGGATCACTTGAGTTACAACAGAGATGTCAAAACCTAACAATATGATGTGAAAACTGGCTCTCTGATGAGCATGAAAAGGATGTATGCACGGTCTCTAATACAGATCATCACATTTCCAAATACGTTAGCCTTGCAAACTACCCACGGCATCAAAGAGCCAAGTTTTTTCCCACCTCATTCATCACAAGCATTCCAAAACTTCACTCAGAACTTCAAACAGAACAGCAGCACTGCTGACAGATGAAACACAAGAATTTGCCTTTATAAAGGTGGGAAAAAACCCAAAACAAAACAAAAAACACTTTACCAAGAAAAAAAACAATTACAGTGAGCAGATGTGACCAGAATATACACTGGCAGCACAAATATTTGGATTGCATTACCATTTTGTGTAGTTTATGATGTTATCAGCCTAGTGCTATGCCTGGCTGTAACCGAACCATGCGCTCAGAGTTGTAGGAAACAGCCCATGTGCTGCTCAGCCGAGCTTTAAATACTCATCTACACCACCAGACACTTCACTTAGGAGCAATTTCTTTAAAAATACCAGGAATAGTTTGATGTACCTTCAAACAGAACGGAGGGGGGCTGGGGGAAAAGATGATGAAATAATAGTAGTAACACGGCAGACAGCTTTGCTTTCCATCATGCATCAGTGCAAACACTTTTTCCAGGAAAGACAACTTTAAGTGTTCAAAAGGCAGCAGTGTCCACCAGGCCAATGAAAACAGCCACAAGAGTTAATAAAAGATCATTTTGAACATCTTTTTTCCACACTTTAGGCAATGGAGAAGACATTATATAAAGACCAAAAAACTTGTTTCACTACCTCTGTGTATATACAGGTAGCTACATCTGTATCACAGCACATGAAAATAAAAGCCTTAAAAACGTTTTTATATTCATTTGAATATATTCTTAGACAGAATTAGTTTCCTAATGTGAAAAGCTGTGGCTTTGCTAAGCTGAAAGTGTCCGGTTTGTTGTAGTCTTCCACTCTCTACACTCGCACTAAGTAAGCACATAAACAGGACTTAACTAAGGGCAGATTCTGCTTCACTTACTCATATCAGAATAAATTAGTTTCTCGCAAAGTAAGATATGACTCGCATCAAATAAAAACCTAGGCTATAAGGAGCTATTTTTAAGTGTGAATAAGGATGGTAATTTTAGCCCTGAAGTTAATCATATTTGTGGTCTTGTTTTCACATTGCTTTTCTACGCTGCTAGAGACCCACGGTAAGCGAGCAGAACGCCCTAGGAGATAACAGTACTCTGTTGCATACATACGACTGCACAAGGTCTGAAGCTAAGCTGCTTCACTCTGTTTGTACAGCACCTAGCACAAGTTGCAATACAAATAACAACAGCAACAATATAATATGGATTAGGAAACTCTTTGTTTCCTAACACTTAGAAGGAGATTAGAAAAATTAAGCCTGTTCTCTAAACAGGCTATGTGACTTCCAATGAAGTGCATGCTGCAACGGCAGACATTGACTTGCAACTTGTCAGCCGAAACCTTCTAAACCGAATACACCTCTCAAGCAATACCACACAACACATATCTCAACTGGTGCCATCCTTGCCCATGTGGAATGGGCATTTTTCACGCCTGTAAGCTCCAAACGAATGAAAGAGCATATACACACTGAGCAACACGCATCTTTACCTCTAACACAGTGCCAAGGCTTCTTGACACACATTTTCAAACATAGCCAAATCACCTCAATTTTACGACTATGCTCAAGTTTTGGGTTTTCTGGTTTGTAATGAAAGCTGCATCTGGTTTCCTGGAATGAAACTGTGTTTTCTTTTAATTTCACATAAAATGTATCAAGCTTTGTAGCATCTGGCTTCCTTCACCAAAGAGAGATGGTCAGATGTATCTGGATCTTGTACATATCAGGTACCCACGACTAGCTGGTATGGTCAAATACACAGTGGTATCTACACAAAACCTGGGTAATCCAACACATTGTGGGCCTTTGCTAGGCAGATGCAAGGCACATAATAAACATGGTGCATGCCAGCACTAATGGGGAGATTAGGGAAAGGACTAGTGCTATTTATCACCAACTTTCATCTTAGCATCACCTGTACACACCCAAGCTAAATCACTCCATTGCATGGACTTTACACTGACGCCTCCTGGTAACAGGAAAGTGTTGTTCAGAGTTTTGGGGTTTTATCAGGCTAGATGTTCTAATTACTGTGTGCTTTTTCAGGCATCAACAGTTGTTAACCTGAAAAGAAACAAACCAGCCACTGATGCAAGCCCGAAACACAAACTCAAAGCAGAAAAATGACCTTGAGAACAAATTGATTTGAAAGTTACAGATACTCGTATGTAGGCAAACATTCCTTTATGCAAATACATCCCAGTTCAGACTAAGCTTTGTTCCTATCATCTGTCTTGAGAAGCAGTAGTAAATCATCTGTCACACAAATATAATTTCTTAGTTAATAAACCACTAGGTTATTTATTTTGGTACAAAGATTTCCGAGCTGTGACACGAGAACCATTCCCGAACGGCAGCTGGAAGTACTCCTTGTCGCTCACGTCAAGGACTGCAGGGCAGCTACTGGCTGATGGGAAGAGGGGAGGAAATAAATGATGCAACGACATGTTATGATCAGGTTTGGGGCTGGAAAAGTTTAAGATAGAAAACTGTGATAATGTGGAAAGAAAGCTGAAGGAGGAGAAAAAAAGCAGGAGGTATGTAAGTGGAAGGCAAGGAGCCGTGCCTCCTCTTGCATCACCCAGCATCAGCTGTTACCTGCACCCACACCTCGCTCGCAAACTGAGCTCCAGGCATCCTTGTCATAACACACGCAACGGACAGACAAGAAAGTTTCAAAACACGTTTGTTCCCAGTTCAGAAAGACAGGGTGGACAGCACGAAACATTTAAGCCTGGTCTTCTATCAAATTCCACTTTCGGAAAAAAGTTTCCAGCTATGCTGAAGCAGAGGTTTTCCCATCTGTCAGTAACCCAGGAAGGAGGATGCTTGCTTTCCACCACACTCTTCCCTGTGGTGACTTATTCAGCCTATGATTTCTGTGGCCGAAAGCTGGAATCCAAGGTGCAGAGATGCGCCCCCCTGCAGCACGGCTGCTTCTAACATCCTTCACGCGTGCGAGTGCTTCCTACTCTGGACAACATTTCTAATTACTTTAAAAGCACTCTAAGCTGCCAAACCGCAGCAGAAAAGGCTGCCTCAGTCTTCCTTAATTCAGATGACAGACCAGAACATCAAGATTTAGAAGAAAAATAAAACCCCCACAGCCAACCAGAAAACCCATTAGCTGGGAGCAGAGCACAGCTGAGATGCACGCAGAGCTGGGGGAAACAAAACAAAGCAACTTCTTCGTCCTGTTTTCTTAAGTAATTTAATTTTGAGCAGCTTGACTCCATACATGTTTTAAAACAATGCTTTCCATTTTTTAATTAAGAAGATCATCATTGTAAGTTGAAATTGCTTCCAGTAACATAAACAGTGTTCTATAAACGCATAATATCCGCCCCAACCTCTTGTACGTGGTCAGGAAAACTGCTTGGCACACACTACACCTTGAGCGAGCAGCATAAGAACAACTGGCTTTATGCTGTGTTTTGATGTTGTGTGTCTGTGTGACAAATTTAGAATCTGCTCTTCTACATCACTTAAGGAATACAATCCTAATGAGTCATCTCAAATGACACTACATAAGGCAGAATGAGGAAAAAACCTTCAATACCTCTTCTGTATATGTAAGCAACAAATAAGCAAGGTAAATCGTTAAAATGAAAACAAAGCTTAATTAAGAACAAGTGTTGATGTCGCTAGGAGTCACAAGTCTCATCTAATGGCATAAAACAAATTCAAAGAATTAAAAACAAAAACCAAACCAACAGATAAATTTAAGACTGTCCACAGTTCTTGTTAAAATTAAGATCGATCTTCGAACTTACCTCTCATTTGAAAAGAGCAAAACACACAGTCACACTTCCAACCTTACAGCCAAGTCCCCTGTGGGACAGTTAAAGATGCACGAGAAGCACATTGAGAAAGGATCTGTGTGTCTGAAGACTTGTTTTTCCTACCTCTTACAGCTGACAGTTTACAGGAGAGGGAATAATAATTTTAAAAAACCCAACCAAAACAAAACAACAAATGAAATGAAAATCAAAGCAAAGGATCCAGCCACCACCAATAACACTTGCTTTCCTGAGTCAGACATGATTCTGTGGGAACATTTTTAGCTTTAAAACCTCTGCCTTGTTTGTAAACTATCATGAAAAGATAACTGAGTCGCTATTGTAGAAATGCATAAGTTGTAAAGAGAACACCAGTACAACTCCTGGAATGCTTTACTCCTTAGAGAGCTGGTACATTGGTACCCAAACAGGTAAAGAACACATCTGTCTGCAAAGCCTCTGCCTTCGTAAATGAGAATGCTCTAGACCACATTCACCTCAAGCAGGTTTATGACATTTACAGTGAACCACAATCGAAAAATCTGGGAAACAAGACACAGGCGCTTTGTTTTTGGTGCTTTGCGACACAAAACTTTTACCTGACGTCATCGCACTGCAAACAACGCAGCTCGCTGACCTACTTATGCAGCTGTAGCAGGGTGTTGGGAACCAAACTGCAGGAGACAGATCTTTTCAAAAGGGGCTGTCTTCCCAGATTAATGGTTTTGCTCCAGATTAACGATTTTGCTCCAGATTAACCATAAGGGCTAGTCTACACAAGCTTTGCCAATATTGCCACACTAGTAAACCTCAGTATTAGAGTAGCAAAGCCATCCTTCCAAATCAAGGAGTAATAAAACAGGGTTTTGAGGATACAACCTTTACCTGCACCGCTGTTCTGGCCTTCCCGAGAGGGCACCAGCATTTTAAACTGAGTTTACACCTCAAAGAAACGTTTCCAGCAAAGACATGCACCAAACCTAAAACACACTCGAAAGG